TTATATGTACATACATATAAATAAACTGTATATATATTGTACACGTATACTATGTACATAAAAATATTTTACATTTATATTGTATATATATAGTACGTGCATAAATATATTATACATTTATATGTGCAATGCCTATGGGGCCTGAATGTCCTAGCGTCTAAACCGAAGGTCCCAGTCTCATACGAATGTAGAGCGACACAGAGCCCAGTCAGAGTTTTCACCCACATCAGTCCCAAACTGTATAGGGGCAACTCAGCTTTAGGCAGAGTGATGAGGTGTGGTGTGGTGTATTAGTAGTGGTTCGAAATCCACGTTAAACTGTAGATTCTGGTATAATTAGTCTAAAGTATGTGACTGTAGTGCGACAAACGAAGAACGCAAAGCGACAAAAAACACTTTTTCGTTTTTTTCTGCAAAGTATTTTTAAACCAAAATAAAAATTACTTTCTACCTACAACTTATTTATAATTTCCGTTATTCTTAAAAAAAACTGCTTTCTTTGCTTTAAACAAAACAAAACCAAAAAAAAACGTTAAATTACAACTTAAATTAGAGAACTTCAACTCTATTCTGACAATGTTCTTTTCAAAATTAAGAAACGACCCTAATTTCCAGAACTGCAGCATATCTTTTACACCAAATTCTTTGAATGAACACGTGGACTTTTTTTTAAATGCGTGTTGTTAAAGTAAACTAGCGCATAAATGTAAGAAAAGCAAATTATGGGCTACAGAAATGTCACTTTGGATAGCTAATTACACTCCCTTTAACGTCAAAACAAACAAAAAAATAGTATGAATATCGCTTTTAGTGAATAAAATATAAGATACAAACTTTACTTTTGCTTCTTACAGACTCGTAAAAAGGAGCTTACGAACTGATCTCGTTTTGCCTTCATCCCTTTATTTAAATGAGGTCTCAGAAAACTAAGAAGAAGAGAATGACATTGAAGAAAAGGAAAAAAGATATAAGAAGGATAAAAAACTTGTCAAATGTTTGCATTTTCTTTTCTTGTGTTTTCTTAAGTGTTAGGGAAACAAGGTTTTTGTATAACATGTTTATGAAGGAGAGAAGTAATGAAAAATAAAATTCAACATAAATAGAATTATATTCTTCTTTTTTTTTTGCAGAAATGGTGGGGAAAACAAAAAGAGAAAAAAGTCAATGATATTCGTTTTTCGTTTCAAGTTGTGTAGAATAAATGACGGTGAATTTTTTTTAATGCTGGCAAAAAAAAAAAAAATGTGTTGAAATTTTTATAAGCTAAAGTATTTATTTTGTTTTTTAATTGCATTAGTATTTACCGCGTGAAGGACGGTATGGGTGTAAATAAGTTTTTTCATGAAGGAAAAAAAGCCTTTTTGAATAAAAAGATGAATTCCTTATTTATGAATAAAAGGATGAAGTCTTTTTCAATTTATACATGAACACATTACAATATATGCATGTATATATTTTTATATACATAGTTCAATGAGTATTCAAAGATGACTATTATATATTGTTTATTTATATGCACTTATTTATAAATAAACTCTAGCATTCATTGTACATACATAAAAATATTTTGCATTTATGTTGTATATATATATATATATATAGTACTACATAAATATGATATACATTCAAATGTACGATGTGTAGGGGCCTGAATGGTCGAGTGTCTAGCTCTCGTGCAAAGGGTGTCACGGGTTTGAGTCTCGACGATGACATGGATGTTTGTAGTTGTGTGGAATCCACTTTAAGTCGCAGGTCCCGATCTCATATGACACGAGCACCACGGTGTCCAGTCAGACTTTTTCTCACCACATCATTCCCAAACTATATAGGGGCAACTGAGGTCTAGGAAGAATGATGTGGTGTGGTGTAATAGCAGTGGTTCGGAATCACATTAAACTGTTAGGTTTCTGGTCTAATTAGCCTAAAATGTACGACCGACCGTAGAGCGACAAACGAAGACGGCAGAGAGCCAACCCAAACCGCTTCGTTTTTCTTTAAGTATTCTTTATTTTATTTTCTGAGCTGTTTAAACCAAAATAAAAATTGGTTTATAATTTGTGTTAATCTTAAATAAAACTCCTTTCTTCACGTTAAACAAAAAAATATTATTGTACTACTTTAATTACGAATCTTCCACTCTATTCTCGACAATTTTTCAAATATTAAAAAAAAAGCGACATTCTCTGAATGAACACGTGGTCTTTTTTTTTAAAATGTGTGTTGTTAAACAAACTCGAGCCTAAATGTAAGACAAGCAAATTATAGGCTACAGAAATGTCACTTTGGATAGCTAATTAGACTCACTTTAACATCTATACGAAACAAAAAAAAAAATAATATGAATATCGCTTTTAGCGTAGTGAATAAAATATAAGATACAAACTTTCTTTTTTGCTTGCAGACTCGTAAAAGAAGCTTACGTACTGGTCTCGCTTTGTCTTCATACCTTATTTAAATGAAGTCTCAGGACTAAGAGAATGACATTTAAGCAAAGAAAAAAAAAGATATAAGAAGTATAAAAAAACTTGTCAAATGTTTGCCTTTTTTTAGTGTGTTTTTTCTTAAGTGTTAAAAAAGTTTTCTTATAACATGTTTATGAAGGAGAAGAAATAAAAAAAATAAAAAAAAATTCAACGTAAATAGAATCATATTCTCTTTTTTTTCGCAAAAAATAGTGGGGAAAACAAAAGAAAAAAAAAAAAAAAGCAAATGATATTCGTTTTTCATCTCAAGTTGAGTAGAAGAAATTAAGGTGAATTTTTAATGCTGGAAAAAAAAAAACTGTTGAAATTTGTATAAGCTAGAATTATTTATTTATTTTTTAATTGCATTAGTACTCAATGTGTAAAAAGGACTGTATTGGAGTAAATAAGCTTTTCTATGGGAAAAAAAAAAGTATTTTTGCATAAAAAAAAAAAGAATTTGTAACAGTTGAAAGTAGAATGAAAGAATGATTACTTTTGTGTTCGTCTTTTTCGATTCGTTGAATTTTGGACATGGGCTTGAATGGCCGAGTGGCTAGCGCTCTGATGCTCATTGCCACTCGGATTGAGTCTCGGAGGTGCCATGGATGTTTTTTGTGGTTTTGGAATCCATTTTAAGTTCATCACAACAGAAGCTGCCCCTTTCCCGTCAACCGTGAAGCCATACGGGTTCGTGGGCTTGGTGTAGATGTCTGCCAAGTGGGATAAGAAACAATGTGCAAGGTATTTACAGATAAAGCTATACATTTATGTATACCAAATGATGTATATCAACACAATACCTTTAAATAAATACAACTATTAAGGCTTGCTTATATGTTATATCGCTAATAAATATTAATGGATTATTATTATCATTAATTTGTCAATAATATAATAATCAGAGAGAATATAGTTGAATAAAATTCCTAAAAATCTCGGAATTTTCAAAAAAAAAATTATAAAAATAATTTTCAGTTGTGCCTATGATTAAAAATTCATATTTTGCTTGAGTAAACACGTTTGCAGTAAGATAGTTGTTTAACATTATATGGATATTTCTTGCACAAATATCACTTAAATTTACAAAGCATTTCAATTTATTTCATTAAAATGATTCAATATCTTGGGCAAATGTAATTTTGTTCGATAGAACATTACAACACTTCAAGAAAATAAAATAAAACATTATTAAATGTTATCTTTTTTGAATAAAATTAAAAGTAAGGCCTGAACTATTACATTTCTTTTAATGATTTAATTCCTTGCAAATACATTAAATGTTTTTACAATACAACCCTTGTAATTAATTAGCGCTAACTAGGTAGGTTTGCAATTAATTAACGACATATATATATATATATATTGTTTAAATCGAAAAGATATACTTAATTCACGTGTGTTTTTAGTATTTTTGGAAAGAGAATTACATTTAATATTTATAGGTATTATAATATATATTGATTATAAATATTTAATTTCTACTTTTTAAAATTTCTTCGACACTAATGCATTATATTACTGTATTCAAGAAGTTTTACGTTTAGTTAATTCAACATGTTACTGAATCCATATTAAATGACATTAAAATTATAAAACAACTAATATGTATAAATATATTATAAGTGGAAGAAATTTTGCATTTATCTTGAGGGCCATAAAATATGAATCTTATTTATTCATAATATACACCTAAAAAATTATTCATAGTATATAGTAGTATATATATTTATTCATTGTATACAAATAAAATATGTGTTTCTAACAAAAAATTTTATCAATTCCAATAATGATTGCTTTCAGTAATCAAACATTGGCTTAAATATTTTTGTGCATTGAAATATCAGTTAACAATCTTCATTAATTAAACATATTATTAGTATAAAAATTCAAGGTTTCTTAGAATTTTGTATTATAATACTGGGTTGAAGAATTAATTTTCTTTAAATCTGAAGTTAATCAAATAATGAGAAAGTAATTTCTGCTCAATAAAATTTCACAATTGAGCTTTTAACTATGTTTTTAGACAGTATTTGCCTTATTAACATTTACAATGTTTTAAAATTGAAAAAAAAAATGATGATTTCAGAATATGCTTCATTCACTTCAAATGATTGAAAAATAATTATGTTTTCAAAATATTATGTTTCTTAATTTTTTTTTCAATAAGGAAACTGACGAATAAGGAGGCTGGCAAATACTTAGGCAGTGATCTTTTATGCCATAAGGGCTGCACCGACGTTACTCAGGAAGTCGTAACTTGAAGAGAAACTGCAGACGCAGAGTAACAACGGCCCCGCAACGTTCTACAATCATATTAGACCGGGACCTACTGTTTAATGTGGATTCCGAACCACTACCATGGCACCGCCCAATTCAAACCCTAAGGCTGTATTACAAGCCTAGCCACTCGGCCATCTTTTATGCCATAAGGGCTGCACCGACGTTACTCAGGAAGTCGTAACTTGAAGAGAAACTACAGACGCGGAGTAACAACGGCCCCCGCAACGTTCTACAATCATATTAGACCGGGACCTACGGTTTAAAGTGGATTCCGAACCACTACCATGGCACCGCCCAGATTCAAACCCTAAGGCTGTATTACCGAGCCTAACCACTCGGCCATCACGCCCCATACGGAGATAACTTTATTAAATTATAAAATTGTTTCGCAAAAAATGCATCCAATGCATTATGTTTTAAAAAAATTCATCAAACTGCTTGCAAATGAAAATGCATTAATGCATGTCTTTTTCAAAAGCAAGCTTCTAAAGGCATCTTTAAAATCAAAGATCCATCAAATTTGCATTATCATGATGTAAAAATGCATCATTTGCAAAATGCATCAACATCATCATGTTAGATTAAGTCTTAAAAATAAAAATAACAAGGTTTATAATGTTTCAAGAAATACAAAATATCGACAGTACAAAAAAACCCATTAACAAGTCACTACATCTACTTTAAATTCATATCTAAAACACGAACGACAAAGTGAAATATTTTGCAATCATCCCCCCATCTAAAATATTAAGCGTCGTCAACAACATATTCATATTTCATTTTGATAAGAGATTCTGAAGAATGAAAACACTTGACAATTTATTATGTACCATTTTATTTCGATTTTTTTACGACAACAATCCATCATTCCTCTTTTTATGATGACAACACTCTCGTATTCCATTTATTCGAATGACCTGCATGCTTACAGAAATATTCATCATTTTTAAACTGTCCCTTATAGTTCGATATTCATTACCTAATGGTTCAGTAGCTGATAAGGCAGATACCAGTAAGATTAATGCACGCGACTTATTCCCCCTATTTAGGAGCTTCCCAACTACTGATGAATGCGCACGGAATTTATACGAGGCTCACCATACGAGAAGAGCACAGAAGGTAATTGGCAATCGGATTACAGCTGTCTCCTTGATTCATTACGATCAGTTGCGACATTCAGCGTCAGTAGTCAATTCGTGTATGCTTTGGCTCCTGTTGTTCCATCAGCGCTTAGGTTAAATAAGGGAATCTTGATACGTCGATGTGTAACAAACTTTGTCACGGTTTAATTCCTTATTTATCATGGATTAATGAAAAATAAACGAAAAAGTTAGCTATATTTGATTTAAGACTTCAAGAAATATTTATTCATTAAAAGTTTAGTTTAAATGGGGGATATAGATTGCTGAATTGGACGTTCTTGTTGTTCTATCGACCATTAGATTAAAAAAAGGGAATCTTGATAGGTTGATGTGTAACAAACTTTGTAAACAAAAAAAGAAATCTCTAAAAGGCCAAGATGCACATACAAAGAAAGATCGGTTAATTGTGCTACAGATGGAACTGGATCACATAAACCCTATAAAATTTCTCACATTCTAACATAAACGTAAAATAGTAAATGGCTAAAATAGAAACAAAAGTAAAAAAGAAAAATAAAACGGATGGCTGCATTGGCAGATAAAAATTTACACATCTATATATATAAAATATTCTAAAAGCAGGGTTTGAAAAAGTTGTCTAGGAAATCAGTAACCCCTCCCCAAAAAAAATTATAGTAATAAAAAAATAATTAATTATATCATTTTGAGAATAGAAATGCACATCTTCAAAATAATATAAACCATGTTATTTCTTCTCGCTACATCACTGGATCCAAGTCAAAAACACATCCAACTTTGTATTCCGGTAACATGGGGTAGAATAAATAACATTTCATTTAGAGTCGGTAAATTAGGACTGAAAAATAAAAATTCGTCGATGTTGCTTGTAATACTGCCGATACAGGTGTTGCTCGTTAATAGCACTGCCATTAAGCGAATGAGTAGAATGATACCAATGAGTGACTAGACTTAGGCCAGTAATTAGTATAAGTGGACTGATCTATTGCCCACTGCTGGAATAACTAGTGACAGGTAATACGCAGCATCGGAAAATAGAATAGTGGTATAGAAATTAAAGAAATGATTTACTATTCTTTAGAAGAAACGTGGGAAAGAGTCCAATGTATGGAGGGTCAGTGAAAATTGTCAATTTTGGGAAAATTTCTTAGCCTATAAATTACAGATTAAAAAACTAATGACGTTGAACTGCATTGAAAGCACCTTTTCTAAAAGGGTAGGTTTTTCTAAAGGAAGGTCTTAATTTCTTTCACGGCTTTATTAATGAGTATAATAATAACTTTATATGTATGTATATATATATACAAAAGCCAGAATAACCACCTTTGGCAGGGCGGACCGCTGCGAGACGTGCAAGAAGAGAGTGAATTAGGTTTCTGAAGGTGTTCACTGGGATGTTGAGCCATGCTGACTCCAGTGTCGTGGCCAGCTGCGATAGGTTAAGCGGTTGAGGATCCATGGCGTGAACAAACCGATCGAGGTGGTCCCACAGATTCTCGATTGGGTTTAAATCCGGTGAGTTTGCTGGCCAGGGAGTACGGTAAACTCATTCTGGTGCTCTTCAAGCCACGCACATACACTGCGAGCTGTATGACACCTCGCATTGTCCTGCTGATAGATGTCATAATTCTGAGGAAAAATAATTCGCATGTAAGAGTGGACATGGTCCGCAAGGACTGATGCGTACTTCTGCTGATCCATTGTGCCTTCCACAATGATGAGTGCCCCAGTGAATGCCAGGAAAGCATTCCCCAAACCATAATGCTCCCACCTCCAGCTTGGATCCTTCCGACAATTGTTGCAGGGTGTCTGCTTTCAGACGTTTCACGCCGTATACGCCAACGTCTATCTGTCGGATGAAGCATAAAGCGCGATTCATCGGAAAAAGCCGCCTGCCACCACTCTGGTACTTTCGGTACTGGCGTGCAAATTCCAGCTTTCGTCGCCGTAATGAACAGTGGTCAGTATAGGTGCATTAACCAGGCGTCTGCTGTGGAGGCCCATGCGCAGCAACGTTCTCTGAACCGTTGTTGAGGATACACTCTTGGTAGCCCCTTGGTTCACCTGGGCGGAGAGTTGCTCAACAGTTGCACGTCTATTCGCCCGAACGCATCTCCGTAGCCTTCGTTCGCCTCTGTCATATATAGCCCTTGGTGCACCACATGTGCCACGCAGCTGATTTTGGATAGTGCCATTTTGCCATGCACGGTATACTTTTACCACGGCGGCATGCGAACATTTCACAAAATTAGCCGTTTCCGAAATTCTTCCACCCTTGGCCCGAAAGCCAATGATCATGCCCTTTTGGACGTCGGATAAATCGCTACGTTTCTGCATTACGCCAAAAGATTGAAATGCTTTCCGATGCCCTAGGACATCCTTTATATATACTCCATTGCAATGTGCTGCCACCTGCCTTTTGTGATTGGTTATTTCACGTTGACGTAGAAAGTAGGGGGTGGTCACATTAATGTGACTGGACTGTGTATATATATAAGAATATAGCACGAACATAAAAACAAATATAGAATTTTTTGTTAAGTGATCAAAAAAATTGGAAAAAGAACTTGCAGAAACAGTAATCCGTTATTTCGGCCTTCAATATACTAAGCAGTACAGTCGACACTGGCTATACATTGCAGCAGATTGTCTTTAACACTATCTCTCTTATGTCAAATGTCACTCTTGTGTTTCATAAGTGTTTTATGAAGCAAAATAAATATATTTTGATTATTACAACAGACAATCTTTAGAGTGGTGACTTAAAAAGAGTATTTGTAACAGATAAACTAGCTTCACCATTTACAAGAGAAACAAGAAAAAACATTATGCTCGCTAGGAGACGAGAGTAACTATATTATATATGTAATAAATAAATGGAATATTATTTATTACTTTAGGCACCTATGTAATAAATAAATTATAAGATTAGCATGTTTAATAATAAATGTAAATGTTATGGATATATATGTATAAATAAAATGGAAATTAGGGAGGCACCTATATAGCTTATAAGATTAGCATGTTTCAAAGAAAGTATTTTTTTTTTTATATACACTGTATTTGCATGGTTCTAATGAAATTGATCTGAGTGTAACTTGCAATTTCTTCAGGTGGAAGTGGTATTTAACTCATATTATTAATCCACCTTTTGCGCAACATTTTTTGCTGTCGTCAAATTACAATTAGATATATCTTAATCCATCAAAGTAAAAAAAATAATAATCTGTTCTTTATAGTGCTAATAATACAGATTTTCAATTGATTTAAAAAAACTAGGTTATACGTTATAAATACTAAATAATGCAAGAATAAAAGTGCATTACAAATACTGAGTAATTATAAATGTAGTAGTATCTAAAATTGTACATTCCCCAGATAAAAATTTTCAATAAACCAGCGATTTTTCATAAGGGAGAAAAAAAAGAATATTTCCAGGAATTTCTGTATTATTAAATGTTTATCAGACGCAAAAATTTCACTTTAAAATGCAAATAAACATTTCTGTTAAGCAGTGAATGTTATTTTCAAAGTGCAAATATTTTGGTAAACAAAATTCGAAACTATTTTCGTGCATGCCCTATGGCTGTTAAAATAATATGCCAGGTCTTCATCGGCTGCCTTTATAACTATTAATAAAAAACGTGTTAGAAATCTGATGATAATAAAATGCCAAAGGTGGCCAACACGATCAAGGGTGGCCAACACGCGGCACACCTTGAAAATTTTTCCGACCCGTGAGATTTATCACACTTTTACAAAATATATTTATTTTAAAAAGGCCAAAATAGTGAAAACCAATATATTAAAATAATACATTATTTGTGCATCCATATATTCAAAAATTAACTATCGAAATATAAAAAAATTAACTTCCATTTTAAAATAATACTCTTGCACACATATGACAGATATTGATTATGTATATATATGTATATATGTGTATATGACAGATATATAGAGAAATTTTCCAGTTTGAGAAATCTGGAATAAAAAGTTGTTAGCGTTTTTGGTTCAGCTTACATCTACGAATCGTTTTTTTTTCGAAAATAAAATTGATCTAACTCAAAACACGCTCAAACATATCGGACGCTTACCTATAATGGTGTACAAATACCCAAATTGAGATCGATTTGCAACAGCAAAGTGAAAGAGCGGAGAAACAAAAATATCGCACTAGTAAAATAAATATTTTTTAATGATTTCATTTTTTATTTCATTTTAGTGT